CCCCCCCCCCCCCCCACAAGCAGCAGTTCGACCCACGATCAAATCAGGGCGCGTGGGGTACTACTACTACTACTACTACTACTACTACTACTACTACTACTACTAGTACTCGTGCTACTCCTGCTGCTGCCGCTGCTACTACCGCTGCTAATACTATCACTACTGCCATACCGATGTACTACTGTACCGGAACGGGGCTAGGCGGGGCCTGTTTCAGCAAGCCGGAAAAGGTTCTGCTGCCGCACAACTCAGTACCACATCGCAACGATAAGCATGGAATTGTGAACAAATGCAGCCAGTGATTGCAACTGCACACGGTTCGCGCGGTACAACCAGCGACGAACGACTGGTTGGGCGGCTTTGGGTAAAGTACCCTCTCTGTGAGACTTCTGGTGTTTCGTGAACCCAGACTTGTGTTGTGGCAAGTTGTGCACGCATAGACGCACAAAGACGATGTTCCGCTCGTCGCCTTCATCTCCTCCTCTGCCACCTGCTTTGCCTCGGCGCTCTGCCGGCGCAGAGTGGCGATCTCCGCCACCTTCGAGTTGCAAATGAGGCGATGAGGCTCTGGGATTGTAAGCCACGTTCAAGCTTGGAGGAGCTCTTGCGCGGCCCATTATCTCGCTAATTCTGGATGATTTTTGTCTGTGCGAGATCGGTTTCAAGGGTCTGAACAGTGCGCCCGAAGCGGTCTCAAGCACTTCTGGAATTGCAGGTCCCGCAACTTCAATCCAAAACGATACAAGATCCCATGAAAGCACCACGCACCTGGTGTGCAGCGGCTTTCTGAAGAGCCTCGATGCTCTTTTCCTGGGTGGAAAGGTGGGTGACTTGGGAGGGGAATGCTACAGTACCTAGATACGCAAAGGCTTGAGAATCGAAGGCGATCTTGCCGAACGAACACAAAAGCATCTCTGATGTGACATGGTGATTGTTTTGCCGGGACAAGATGAACACGAGGGCGAAGAGAGGAGGCAGAGCCCTCCAATCTGCCGATTAAACTGTCAGTTGCGATGCGAAAAACCTTACCAGGCATGGCATTACAAGCCTTGAACAGTAACCCTGCGGATGACAAGGCACCATCCGAGCCATTTCCGCCCGACCTGCCGTCTCCTTGGCCTCCTGCTGCAGGAGCTCCGATGAGAGCTCGGAAATTCCTGGTAGCGATTAGGTTGTGTAGGACTTTAGTTTAATTGGTTTGGCCGGTTGCCTCACTGACCTGGCCATGCACACCCACGCCAATGACACAACCTGTGTCTGGAAACATACATTTGGGAACTCAGGGGCCGCCCTGTGACTTCATTCTCGGGCCTTGCGCCACCACATCCAGAACTTGGTTCCGGCGCCGCACATCGGGATTGCCTCGAAGCCTGGGCTTCCAGGAACTTCAGCCCATGGAGCGCATCGGATGTTCTAACGACCCAAAGCATCAGGGAGCTTCTGAGGGTCACGCCCAAACATTTTAGTCTCGTTCTTTCATCATCATGTTCTCTCGAAACAAACCCTGTGTGGTCTTCCTGCCACTCTCGCGAGGGATCTTCGAGTCAGGAGCTGCCGAATGAGATCACTCCTGTTTCTTGCATGATGCTGCTGACCATCCGCCACTGCGATCCAGGAGGCAACTGCTGTTGCAGGTCTTCAACCTCACAGGCACAACAGGAAGGTTGAAGCGAAGGAGCTCTGCGGCTGCAGCTGCCTCCCTTTGTTCCCATGTATGCGCATGGCTTTGGATCTCCGTCAGTCGGCTCGTTGTTTGGCCTCTCTGCTGCTGTTTGAATCCCGCAGCCTCTTGGCTCAGCTGCTCGGTGCGCAGCATCTCGGCCGCCTCCTGTTGATTGTTCTCTCTTGTTTGGAAGAGGAGGAGGAGGGAGGAGGGAGTCCATAAATAGATGCAAAAGAAACATGTGAGTTCTGATTGATTTACTCATTTGCTTGCAGTGTTCTTATTTGTGTTTATATGTTTTACAGTTGTACTCATATCAACTTCGGTATGTAGTTACGTATGTGTATCCAAAGATATTGATTTGGCTAAGGCTGTTGGGGCTCGTTGGGTTTGAGTGACTTCGTTCGTGGTTCATGACAGGCTGGCGGCTACCATTGACAGGTGACTGCAAAGGTTAGGGTTCGAGTTTGCTCAGTGCATCGACCTTCAAACACAAGAAATGACTTCATCTCCTCTAGACTCTCGACCCTATACACCCTACAGCTACAACCCCAGAGGACTGCACCTGTCTCCGTAGTCATGCCCGAACTCGGTATCTGAGTTGAGGTTTTGGGGTCTTAGGGTTTAGACCAAGGACAAACCTGGTCTCATGAAGCCCAGCAGCTGCAGCAGCTTGGTTCCCGCAGCCCCACCATCGCCGAAGGGGGCTGCTGGGCGAACTGCTGTCCGCCTCGTGATGAGCATTGGGACGTATGTGTAAACCATGTGCCGGCTATGTGAAAACTCTATGTGGTGCTGGATTGAAAAATCGAACTAGTCCTCTGTTCGTTGAAGATGTAGCACAGCCTTGCTTCAGATTCAGTGGGCGCACGGAAACTCGATCAAGTCTCATGTCCGGTCGATGAGAAGCGGAAAAAAAGAAAGGTCAGATATCTAAGTGAGAAATACCGTATGCTGCATACAGCATGCACGTCGCCTTGCTGCGGAGGTAGTTGCATCGCACCTGCCAGCACCGCTGACGGCTCTGCTCACAAGGGCTGGACTTCGGTCTATGTTTGCCAGGTTGGCTGCCTGATGCTGCCGGCTTGCATTAACTCTCATTCAATCATCACTCGTTCACTGATTCATGATGATGACTCGCTGGCGATGCTGGACACCATCCTTCTGATTCTGATGATGATGGTGATGACGGTGATATGGCGGAAGAAGATCAGGCTCGCGATGACTAATGGAGACAATGGTGACGATGAATAGGACAAGCGTGAGATTCGCGATTGGTGAAGAAAACGACTCAGTGATACGGAGGCAGCATGTAATGACGAAGGTGCTGATGCTGGGGATGAAGATACAGCTGATCAGTGGATGAGTGTCAGTGTTGCTCTCTGCTGCTGAAGACGATGGTGACAACGATCAGGGTGGCAGAGGTGATGATGATGCGACGACGACGACGAGGAGGATGAAGATGACGACGACAAGGATGATGATGATGATGATGATGACGATGATGATGGCGACGGCAGTTTGGATGATGACCCTGACGAGGATGCTGCCAAAGCAGGGAAATGAGAGGAATGGCAACGGCAATGTCAACAAGACCGCTAATTTCAGGAGAGTAGCAGAAATATGAAGTCATGGTGGTGATGATGGAGGCGATGGTTTGGGTGGTGGTGAAGACGAAGATGTAATACTATTATGTAGAAGATGATGCACACTGCTGCTGCTCTGCCCGGACCTCAAATCGCAGGACCTTGTCGCGGAGTGCTCTCTCTTGCGCACACAACTCCTCCGAAAAGGACACAAAAAAAATTGGGCAACATCTTCACGTATTCACATAAAGCCCAGTTATGGAACGGGTTCGGAGGCAAAATACATGCATCCCACCGCAGTAGAGTCACAGGTATTGAATGATGGCAGACGCTCGGCCGGTCACCCCATACAACGTCCTCATTGCCAACGCTGTACTGGGCAGCATCGGAGAGAACCTTCTGCTTCAGATTCCAGCCGTGTTGGGCTTCGGGAAATCGGGGAATTCTGAGCATGCTGGACCTACATACCGTTCGCAATCCCAACTGAACGTTGTTCCCTGGGCTGTCCGACCTGCTCCACCACGTGCTTTAGGCTGCCGGCGCGAACCTTCTACACTTTTGCAGCTTGGCATGCGAACACCAAGCTCGGCACTTGCCCTTGACTTGTATTGCCGCAAAAACAACAAAAGGTACTGTAGCTCAAGCAACTGCTGAACCTGCATCTCTGCAAAAGTGATATAGCAAGAGACAGCGTCCGCGGGCCTCTGCTCGGGCACGGTCCTGCTGCAGGCAATACCGGGGAATGCCAGGTGCCAGGTCACCAAAAGCTGTGCACTTGAAACGCCTCCTCTGTCTCCCGCAGCGCGCGAGCGGAGCGCTGCGCGGCATGCTGCAGCTCGCGAGCCTGGAAAGTCTCGCTCGGGCTCATGACCCTCGCATCCTTGAACCATCAATGCTGTTTGAGTGCACGAAAACTTGCTCGAAACGGGTCCGAAGATGACTGCTCCGCACTTTCCAAGTTCTGACCCTCGCAACTCGAAATATCTCGAAATGCCGATCAAGCCACCTTCGCAACGGTGTGCATGTTAGGTGAAGGCAGACTTCTGTGGAGTTTCAGGTTAGATGACTTGATGAGGATCTACAGTAACACTCCCCGCGAAATTTCTTTGAATCTGATTCGGAGCTGCCGGCTCCCATCCCTACCTTCCTTCAGCAGAGCCGGAGACTTTCATCCCTCGGCCTGGGCAAGGAGATCTCCCTCCGCGCACCGAGCCGCCTCGCTCCGGGCCTCCACGGGCCACGGAGGGTTTGGTGGGGCGCATTTTTTTCCCCTTCATGACCCGAACATTAGCAAAGGGACTTCTTCTTGTGCGCCTGGAGCTCCTCTATCCTCTGTCGATGCCGACAGGAAAGCTCCTGACCGAGCACGCTTTTCAACAAGCTTCAGGATTCACCTTCCATGTCTTCAGCAGGCCATGTATGCTGGCGTGCCAATGCACTCAAAGGTGCATCCATACGTCTTTGCTGTTCGCTTCGTGCCTCGGCAAGGCGTTTGAAAGCCTTGAGTGGGCATGTCGAACGCACACATCTGATGCAGTCTTGCTTACTACACCGTACCGTAGCTTCAGATGCTCGTTACTGCGATGTTTTTGCCTAATTAGATTTGCCCTTGTACCATCGTTGTTGCACTTGCAAAGATTCTCACGTGTAAACGCATGCCGAGAAATGCTAACACATCAGAGATGTGACAGCAGCAAAGCTATCTTGCAAAGCGGTCCGGTTTCTTCCCGGTGCTGCCAAAGCTGCGTTGCATCCCATGCTACCTGCTGCTACAATTTGGCTTGGGTTCAGCCATCGAAAGCACATAGGTTGCTGGCACGAACAGCTCCGTGGATTTGTCGCGAGCTGTCCCGTTCCTGCAACAGGGGACTTTCTTAACTCAGGGCTTGAGAGGGAAGAAAAGCTGCTGCATACTAAAAAACTCACGTGCTACGCACCGCCTCCTGAATAGTGCCGCTGCAGTACAACTGAGTTGCACATCGGTTTGATAATGCCATTGCTCAACGGCATGAGGGCACGACAAGACCTATTGCTAGTTTAAACCGCAGGGGTAGCGGAACAACGCATAACGACGACGATGACTGCAGACACAAGAGTCTTCACGTGTCTTCCCCGAAGCTCGTGTTGAAGTATCCGTGCAAGTTGAAACATATCCCCAAAACTACGAAGCCGGTGCTCATGAAACCTATTGAAGCCAGGTCAGGAGCTGCCTTTGTGCGCTGGAGCTCGTCCACCTCAAGACGGAGCTGCCGTATCTCCTGCAAAGATTGGGTCGGAGCTGCTTTGGGGCGTAGAAGTGTTCTTGGGTATTCGAGCGCCCTAGACAAGGCGCGAATCTCTTAAACCCTAACGCCTCAAGCCCTGAACCCGAGGCCAGAAATCCTTACCCTAAACCCGAAACTTTCTTGAATCTTAAACCTATAGGAGGGGCAGGAGGTTGGGCACGGCTTTGAGGGCAGACTTTCCATTTCATCCGGCAACATGCAAGAGGCATCAGGCCAAAATTGATCCAATCGGGTCAAGCTACAGATAGCTTTTGCTGGACTTGAAAACAGCTCCTGCCTTCTCACGCTGGCGCAGAGGTACCAGAACATCATCCAACTCCTGTCGTCGTGGCACATGCTGAACACCAATCATACTTCGGATCGCCTGCACAAGAAAGACTCTTTCGCTTCTGCAGAGTCGCTACAAAGACACGATGGCATACATCTGCTCATGCAGCCGTGCACGACCCACTGAAACCGCTGCATGGCGGACTTGCCGGCACATCTGAGAAAGCTTAGTACACCAGGGGAGGCTACTCGTTGACGTTCACTGAACACTTGTGGATCAGGCAACCAGAGATGGCGACTTTCCAGTTGACACTGAAACTGGAATGAATGAGTGAACATCCGGAAGCGGTAGAGCAACACAGGAAGCTTTTAGCTGTTTATGTAATATCTTCGTAGCTGACCGAAACACTTGGCACCTCCCGACTTATCAACAAGCCACGCCCGACTCCCCGATTCAAGGCTGACTGTCTAGCCGAAAAGCACCGAACAACCCAAACACGCAGCCGCGAACTTCCAACGCGCCAAATCGGAAATATCTAGCATGACTGCATGGCAGTGTGTTGTGACTCGGTTCAGACGTACAGGTGGGCGACCGAACGTAGTTTCGCAGTGCCTGATCGGCCCGTGGCTGCTTTCTGGACCCTGCACAACTTTTGGCATCTGCGCGCTGCAGCCGTATGTGGTGATGGGCAAATAGGGGCACCCCGATGGCCCTCGCCAATCTGTACAGAGTCCCGCATCCTCAAGGCAACGAGCAAGCTGGCCACATGCTGGTCTGTTCTATCGGCTTTATCGGTTTGATGCCATTCAAGGCAGGGTCTGGCAGGGGATGGCACTTCTCTCTACTCACGCTCCGCAATCCCAAGTTCTTACAACAACGGGCTCTGGCGTTGTGAAAATCAAGCCTTTCTCAAGTCTCATGACTCACTACTGACACCACTGCTGCATCCCGGGGAGGATTACAAATGTTGCTCTAAGTCTTCCTGCTGCCATGACTACGGCGGCATACTACAGTTGTCAACCGTACCACCTCGGCGAAGACTGCGATTACTGTTCCTACCACCGCTATTCTCACTCTTCGGCTACTCCAGTATTGAGTGCCATGCTGGGCTGGAATGAACATCTCTCAGCAGTATGGCTATCGTTGTGCTGCGGCTTTCCGCCTTTGCTCGTCTGCCAGGTCTATTCAGTGCCAACTGTCGAGCCCTCACCGCGGTCGCAAGCAGTCCATCAGTCGTTCTTCTTGTCCTGGCGGCACGGCGAAGTGCTACGAGGCCAGCTGGGATATACAGATGCAGCTCTTGCAGCCGACTCATCGCAGTTGCAGAATTGAGCAAAGCAGCCTGCGATAAGAGCAGGTCGTTCAAGAACTTTGCTCTCAGTTCAGCTCGTATCTCCCACCCGCTCCACTGCCGAGTATGCAGACTTGCACTCCTGATCCTCGGTCTCGGCAGACTCGGTGAAGTCCTCGTCGAAAGCTCCTTGGGCCACAGCTGGTACTGGCAGGAAACAGACTACTTGGAACCAGTGCACCAACAATCGTACTGGCCAGCAATGACCGAACACCGACAGCAAGATATATAGTTGATCCTCCGGTACCTCAAGACAGGAAAAAGCATGGCATAGCGACCACTCGGCATTGCTACAAAGTCCGCCTCATCCACCACATCATCAGCAGCATCACCACCATCATCGGCAGCGTCTCCGGAGCACCTTCAACATCACCTTCACCACTATCATCCTCATCTGCCAACAACTTCAGCAACCCCGTTGCGGCCATGCCACGGGACTTGTCCACCGGGTAAATATGCCGCTGGTAGAGGTAGAGGAGGAAAACGATGTCGTCTCTGAAGCATGACATGCCTCAGACACTTCACTGCAGGACAGGAGATTCTGTGCCGCACAGAACTGCCTTGCAATTCCGGACGTCCAGGAGCTCAAGAGCAACGTGGCAGCTAGAATCAGAAGCAAAAACACTGCATTCTACGGATCTCTTCTGATGCATTGCCATCGGATCGGAAGACATGAAGAAAACCCCACAGTAAGCATCGGGCGGTGCATTGTCGGCATCTTGATAATGAATGCAAAGAGATCATCCTGAGAACTCAAAGTGCATGCAGCATTTGTAGGGTTGCAGGCGCTGGCGTCCCAGTTCATGCAGTCGAGACACAATGAAGGTATTGATGGCTCCTCGGCATGGGTTGAATGGCCACTGGAGCCTATTGTGCCTATTTGCACAGATACAGTATCGAGGCCACAAAAGAAGCCCAATGCGAGCACCGAACAAGCTACAGATCGCAACGAGCTTCCTGGTGCAGATACTGACATCACATGTGCGCAAACGTCCACGGCGGGCGACCGAGATACATCCCAAACTAACATGCTACATAGAAATTAACATGTCGGAATCGAATGTTGAACTCCAACCACAAGCCCCACAGCCTAAGGTGACTGAAGCATGTCGAGGTGCTGTAAATGAAGCGCCTCCAGGGAAGGTGCGCCACGGATTTCATGCGATAGTTGATGAACAACTGTGGCGTCCTGATTTGATTTTGGGTTCACAGAAAGGTCACGCATGGACTTGAGAGTTTTCGGTTGGGAGTTTCGAGTTGGGCTGTGGACTGCATTATGTATCAACTTCAACTAATGCCTTGAGCGACGCAGAGAGCGAGAGACACAGCTCAATCGGGAAAGATGACGTCAGGCAGGGCTTGCACGACTGCACAAACCGTAGGACCGTAGTGTGCTAGATGGTATAACCCGTGTATATCTGAATTTTGCACCCATTGCATGAAAAGAAAAACAGATGAGCATGTGTGTGTGTGTGTGCGTGTGTCTGTGTGTGTGTGTGTGTATATGTATGTCGGTATGTATGTGTGTATGTATGTGTATGTGTATATATATATATATATAGCCAGGCATTCCTGAACCATGTCAGCCATCTTCATGCTCGCACCTGCAGAACATCGAGGATCTGAGCGTGCTGTTTATCCTACAATAATAAACCATCTGCTCGTTCTTTCAAGTGTTGACCACCTCAGCTCCGCAAGATCTCCTGAGAGCAACACTCCCGAAGGTTCAAGTCATCGCCGAGGGTCATAAGTGCAAAGCCCAAGGCATACACCAAAGACGCAGCTACGTGCAGCATGTACCTGAGCTGTTTCTGGCTTCAGCTTCCGGGAACGTCTCCACGGTCAAGAATTGGGAGGCTGGTCGGCCGTGACATTGCAATGACTTTGATCCATCGGCTCGTTGCTACAGTCTTTCAGCGCCAGGTGAAGCCCGTATACTAGGTGTTTCAGCTGTCGTTGCACTACGGCACTTGAGATACTGGAATCAGCACTACTGAAGACCCTACTGGCGGGGTGCCGGCTGTGGTCGACGTTCTCCTGGGATCCTTAGGCTAATTCCTCGTCGGAGCGACGCTGGGACGGACTTGTGGCACTCGTACTTGGCGGAGTATCCCGCATAGCCGACGACGATGGGAAGCAGGATCTTAGGTCAAATGAATGTCTGAATCTTAATGCACGCCAAAAGTGTCAGGCAACGCCATGCAGATCGTCTGTCATCCTGTGCTACGAACGTGCCTGATCTAAAGGCTTGAACGGTCCAGCAGGAGCACCACTGACCGAGGATCTCGCATAAGAGAGATATATTAGGGCCATCTTGTCATAGTCGTCCTTGGTCCAGATGTGGCAATGCAGCTCGCTTGTCAAAGCTTGTCAAGAGCGGCGGCATCCCCAGAAAATAGCCAACCTGAACCTAGTCCGTCGGAGCCTGATAAGGTCCGCCCTCACAGAGGTCACGACAAGTATCGGACAGGCTCGGATTTAGGGCTCAGGTCATTGGGGGGGCTTCAGCTTTTGATGCCAGGGCTCCGCGCTGGAGTGGGGCACTCGGCTCTTAAAGGTCGGATAGACAAGGACGCCCTTCCAGGCCAGACTGACCTGAGCATCGAGACATGGTGCTAGGAGTCTTGTTTCCACTAACTACCAGTCCTATGTCAACGGCTTTCGCCAGGCACTGCTTGGCTTGGACAGTTAGCGCCTTGGGCTTCAGACCTCAGGGCCTGGAGAAGGCAAAAGGTCCCAGACGGTTTCCGGAACCCTCTGGCCTCCAGCACTTGTGTGAGCTTCCAGCAGTCCACGCCGATCTGACCCAGGGACAGGATCAGGATCAGCCAGTTGGACTCTTGGTCATACCTTGCCAAATTTTCTGGTTCATTCCTGTTTGCATGATACTGTGCAGCGCTGAAAACTAATCGCTGATAAGCAGCAAATAAATGTATCTCTATCTATCTATATATATATATAGCAACAATATATATATATATATACACATATATATATATGTATATGAATATATGTGTATACACATACATATATATATACATATATATATATATGTACACCTATTTTTAAATTATTCTGTGTACATATATATATATATATGTATATGAGTAAGCATGTGTATATATATATATACATATATACATATTTGTATGCGTATATAGGTATAACCCACATTTTTACAACTTGATTTCTGGTTGACACCCACTCCCCACGTCGGCTACTCCAACTCCAGCCTCCGAAACCGACGGGTACCTGTCAAACAACTTTTCCAAGACCCCCCTTTGACCCCCGATTGACTCTGAGGACTCGCAGGTAAATGTTGATGCAGTCAGGTGACAAGTAGAACCAAAGCACGACGTTGCCTTTGCTAGTCATTTGAGGCATGCTATGCAGATCTGGATTTGCAGATTACCCAGTGGACAGGCAGACCTCCAAAGCGACCATGTCTGCAATACATGAAACCCCGTCTTGGAGGTGTCTGTGCCGTCCTTGATAAACCATCTGCTATCATCTTCATGGCCTACCGAACCAGAGCAAAGCCGTCTGCTGCATCGCATGATAGTCTGAATACTACCTTGGGTTAGTGCTGTTGCTCAGAATGCCTTGCGCTAGGCATCGCTTCGATCCTTGCTGTCATTACTGCTCAAATCTGCTCAAGGCAACTTGAGACTTTGGACCAAGACCCCAGCACTCTTCCACCAAGGCACAGACGATCTCTAAGCCGACAGCTCGCAGCGAAACAAACCTTTTCAGTGTTTCAGCATCTGTCCGCCGCCAGAACAGCACCTCAGAAAGTACATTATGCTGTGTAGATCGGGCCCCATTTGCTACAAAGCCTTGAGAGCAAACAATGAACTTGGAGCGCACGTGCACTTGACCACATGCAACCAAGCTGCATCGTTCTTCAACGCGAGGTACTCGAAGATCATATGCAGAACAGACACCACCATGGTGGCAATTAGCAGATAGGAATTTGTGTTTGCAAACCTCCGTTTCCAAGAATTCACCAAGATATTCCCGTGCTTTGGGGATCTCGGGCTTTTTGTCTGCAAACGCAAAAAGGGGCAACAGTGTTGCCAAGCGTCAAATCCCGCATCTGGACTATGGCCTCATCATCTTCACCAGAGAAGTACTGCTGCGTCATCTGCTTGATGCTGTGTTCCATCCTTCGAAGTGCACAAAGTTAAACAGCAAAGCTTAAGCTCGGCCAGGTCCGTGACCTCCGAAGGCTGACAGCAAACAGTGTCATTTCTTTCGTTGAAGAACTCCGCCGGGCGGCGTGTGCTGAAATCGCCATCGGGCTGCGGACATCAGGCCGAAGTGGATCTCCTGAGTCGGAGTTGGGCTTTAGCCCATGGTCACAACACCGTTCCTTCTGCACACAGGAACACGTCTAGGTGCTCTAAAGACCTTCATCCTAATACATTCGAGGAGGAGCTGTGGTAAAATTATCGTCCCCGGTGGTCTTGAACTTAATGAGCTGGTCGTTGGTCATCCAGAACTCATCCACATACCTTGGACAGGCTCTTGCGCATCGCTTCCCAGCCGCCTCTGATACCTACTTGAGCCCGAAAGCCTACATGCCCTTCAAAGGCAAGGTCACATTGTAGGGTAGTAGTGGTCGTACTTCCAAGGCCGTGGATAGTGCGTGCGGTCGTAGACCAGCCGGACCTCGCAGCGACGAGCGTTAGCAGCTAGAGCAAGCATGTAGCATTTAGAGTTTAGAGGCATTCATTCGGGCTGACTACGGGGCACCAGGGTCCAGGCGAAGCAGTGTTTGGGGGGAAAATCTGACGGTCGCTCAGGCTGTGAATTTCGTCTTGAAAACAGTCTGCGCCGCCCGAGCTTCAAGCCTGCATCTTGGGAATGCCCCGGGCTGTGAGGGGCTCCTTTGAAGAGCCATACTTCCTGCACGCGCAGGATGAAAGTCTCAGGAAGCCACAGGCAGCCCGGACGCGGAGCCTCTCCGTGCTGTCTTCGCAGATCTCTCCTGCAAGCTCAGATTAGCTCAGCTTTCTCTGTGGCAGCGAATTGACTTCGGAATCGTGTAGCATCTCTTTTGATTGACTGGGATGTGCAGGAGATGTCAAGTATATGAGGAGCCTCACCTAGTTGAGGGGTCGAGCTACTTCAGGCACCAGGACCCCGCGGGCTTCTGCATCTGGCCGTGTCGAAGACAGCCGCTGTGATTGAACATTCCCGAACTGCTTAGCAAACACACGACAGCATTCGCAGGGCACAGGCGCCTGAAAGCAGCCAATACTTGGTGGTCTCTTCCTTCATCTTGTCATACCTTTGGCTGGCAGCCCTGCCTACACAAAGGTTGATGCTAATCGATCCTGCCAGAACCGACCCCTGAATCAGCTGAATAAATTGGTGCCTGTTGGTGTTCAGATCGCATGCGAGCCAACTAGGTCACCATGTGTGAAGAAACTCCACAAAGCTTAAAGCCACTCTGGCGACTTCAGCAAGCCTCCTATGCTGAAAACTCTGCATTGCCGCAGTGCTTGACAACACCGCCGTGGGCTTCTGCTATTCTGTCACCTTGCGGCTTCTGCAAGATTCTGCAGTCGAGGGAGTATCGGCGTGGGGCAGTTGTTTCTATCGCTGAGCTTCTTCGCTGCAGCAAACAATGACAGCCAGTCCACTGCTGGGGAAGTGAGACTTCTTCCGTGCGATCCCATAGTGTGAGGCCTCAGCGTGGAAACCTCCATCCGTCCTGCCTTCCAAGTTGTGGTGGTGAGCCTTGAGAAGCTTGCCGAGAGCCTTCTTGCCCTAAGAGCTTTGAACCCCAACAGTGACTAGCCTGACTTGCTTCCCGACAGATGGCACCTCGCTCCGTCAGGAGGCGGGCAGTTACCCAGACGTTCCTCAGCGCCAGGCTACGATGGAGAATAATTCGGAAGCTACATCCTTGCCAGATCTTTTCTAATGGCATGTAAACGATGAGAGAAGCTGAGGGCCCATCCGCTTCTTGGTAAGCATCTTGTCTGTGACGTTGACGGGAATCGAAGTCGAAGAAGGCTCAAAGTCCTCACAATGAGTATGCGGACCAGATGATAAGCGCACTCATAAGGATGCAATAGCAAGTCTTGTTGGGAGCAAGTTGGGGCCAGAACGCTTTGCTGCCGGCTCAAGAGCTTCTACGCAGCGCAGTCCGTCCTCATCGTCGTAAGGGAAACGCACGGTCCAGTCGGGCTTTGCATCTCGTGGCACCGTCGGCTGTGACCTGATCAAGACAGCTTCTGTTCATAACGAGTCAAGCAACGGCTGCTCAGAAACTGCGGTCTGGCGGCTTGCTCTCCTTGATGAAGACGTTGAGGGTGAGAAACTCTCCGCGTTCTATCCTTTGGTCGCAAACAGAGACGGTTTGAAGTTTGGGAAACTTTGAACCAGGCCATTTGCAAAGTACTCCCGAAAACGGCCTACACAGTCATGCGGGCAGAGTTGAACCCTCTGTCCTGTTCTGGTACTTCTGGAGATAGTTGTGATTTGCATCGAAGTCCTGTTCCGCGGACTGTTCGTTTCTGAGCAGCGCAGAATTCGTAACTGCTCACGAATTGAAAAAAATGGTTGATGCAATGTGGCTACAAGCATTGCGCTCATGCAATATGGGCCGACCCTGCTCAAATCAAACACAGCAGAAACATCTCAAGGTTATCGTATGTACTCCTACTATTCGCAGCAGCAACTGCTAGCACAGGTTGCACTGCGGTCCGGAAAAGTGGGATAGAGCATGCCATAGAGATTCTTGCCGACCTTGTTGCAACAGTTATAGGTGGCTGACTCGAATGGAACTTTGCGATTCTGACGAAAGGATTGAGAGATGTCATGGACTACGGACTACAATGCCTCGGCAACTCACATGACATGAACACTGTCGAAAAGCACTGCGTGACAGCACCAGCAGTTCGCAGGGTACGCTAGGGCCGCTAGGGTGTCTGCAGGCTTCATGCAGCCACGAAATCTGCACGGGCTAGGCTTCCGGCATACGAAAAATAGCCTCGGCATCAGGGTATGCTCCGTGTTGCAGAATCGGCTATGCTTCACGCATTGCACACCTCGTTAAAGGGAGGTCCAAAGGACCGAAGTCTATCCATGCATTAATTGTACCTACACAGCTGGATTAGCAAATCTGTCCGGGTAGCCTGCTTTACCAACAGTTCAACACTAGGTCTTTGTCTGTCGTGAACATGTTGCGGCCAGCCTAGTAGAGGGACCCTGATCAAAGCAGGCTTCGAATCAGAATTGGCGAGAGGCCCAGGATCAGCACAGGCACGATCTCAGCGGCTCCGCCCAGCAAACCCTCGAGAAACGGCAGACATGTTTCGGTTTGCAACCCAATCATAATGCCTCGCAAAGGGTCATGCAGCACCAAGACTGAACGCGAAAACGTGGGGCAGAAAGCAGACAGCCGCCTTGCCCGCCGGCTTCTTCTTTTCCTTCTTTGCTTTGCTCTTCTCTGGCGAATCCTCAAGAAGTGTGGCCAGCGTTGAGCATGGACTAGTTGAGCATGTTTCAGAACTATATGAAAGGCTCTAGAGACTTCAACGAGAGGTAGCCCAAATTGATCACACAAGCCGGCTCTCACACTGGAAACAGGTCCCGAACTCAGTCTCAAGCTCAAAAAGCCAAAAACTTCTTCGCAAGACGCTTGGCCTCGCTTGCAGCTTCAGGCTGCGCATTCACATCATCATCCTTCTTGCTGTCCTTTGATGGAAAGCGCATCTTTGTGGTCCCATGATCTGGTCCCTCCAAGTGCCCGTAGCACAAGCAACTATGAAACGGTACCGAGTGTGTGTGTGTGTGTGTGTGTGTTTGTGTGTGTGTGTGTGTGTGTGTGTGTGCGTGCGTATTATGTATGCATATATATATATATATATGTATATATGTATACACATATTATGTATATGAAGATAACTCGGGGGAAATCAAATCGAAACAAATCTAGATTCTAGAACAGCCTCCACTTGGCTCCGACTACTTCGCCGATGCCAGGACGTCCCGAACACTTACAAGACCGCTCTTACGCGGAACCTCAAGCAAAGAACGCACCAACGGATTAACGTCGGATGTCCGCTACAGGGGGTCTCAGTTTCGTTTACATCGGTCCACGGGCCACATCAGGCCAAGCACGTGAACCGGCGTTTCAGACCGCTTCGCCCGCGGCTGCGGTTGGCCAGACGCCATGCTGCAGAACTAAGCGGTAGCTGCTTGCTGAATTTCTTCGGCCTCATAGCTACTTCGGGCGGCTCTGGTTCAAAAGAGTGGCGGTCTGCTCAACATGGCTGACTATCTCTTGGGGGTGTGTTCACGTGCCCCGCCCACATCAGTGCAGTTGTTCATTCTCACTCTGCTCATGATGTGCTGGTGACTGTAGGTGCATGTTGTTACTTTGGTCCTCATGCTAAGGTAAGGGATACCACGGAACCAAAACTGCTGCATGCAAGAACGTGGAGCGAAGCTCTGGGAAGCAACGGTACGAAGACACATGCTGCACTGCGGTGCATCAGATCCGTTGCAATCCAAGCGTGTGAACCTATCCGCTTGGGTTTGCCTGTTCTCGAACAATCGCATCAAGGCACAACTTGGGCAAGGGCAAGCAGTAGCACCAATTGCGAAGAACTCTCCAAACCTGAAAGTCTCTGTCCCCAGGGCCGATCCGAAGCCCTGAACCGAACGTCCCAGTCGCAAAGAGGGGGCCTCACGTAGGCGAGCAGAGTCGAGGCCCAAACCTGAAGTCTGGCAGTTGCTTTGGGGAGCCGGCGGCGGCGCGCACTGGGCTGAGCACACCGGAGCGCCCGCTGGAATTGGTGGTCTTGAATCCACTCTCAAGACCACTCCGAGTCATCTAAGCTGCAATTTCCTAAGCAGCTTCGTGTTCATGGTTGAGCAAAGGCCTCGGAACCCTCCAAATTAGCTATATACCACGGAGTTTGGAAGGTCGAACTCCCATTCCCAGGTCGCTGCCAGGGCCCTTGCCGTAAGTCTCCGTTGATGAGAGGCTGTCAACAGAGGTGCTTCGCCTCTCACTGCGAGAGAAGATTCGAGGCCACACAGGATTCGGATGCTGAAAGGTGTTGCCTTGGGCAGAAAATGTTGAGAGCTGAGCGCAAGAATTCAATAAATATCGCAAGATATCAGACAAGTATTATTAGATCCCGCAACCGGCCACCTTGCAAGCCTGTCTCTCCCGTAGCGCATCCGGATCCAAGCTATTATGCACACCGGTAGCATAATCATTCGGAGGTGTGACTCATACCCTTGGCTGTCGAGCTGCTTCGAGAAGGGTCTGCAACCTCCATACATGTTTCCTTCAGCGGTAGGATGGCCTCAGAGCATGCGAGCCGGAGGATGCCGATGACAGCCTGGCAGATCCAAACGTTCCGTCTCTCACTTCCACATCTCACGCTTCAGTCAGAAAAGTTTCAGGATGTTGTGGTTAGACCGCAAGAAAGTCGGGAAGCCGTCGATCTTTCCACAGATGTCAACAGTCTGGAAACCCAGCTGCCCACGCAAGTTTTGGCTGCCTTCAGTAATTGCTTCAATTCACAGCGAGCAAAATGGCTGCCACTGGAAGCTGGAACCGAATCCCTGGAGCCCGGCCTGTGTCTTCTGGCGATTGGCTTGCGCGTCAGCTCCTGGAAGGGTGGGCACCACATGTCAGTAGCACGGAGACTGTCTTGGAGGCAAAGGTTTGCCTGGTGCTGCACCATGCCCTAGAAGCCAAACAGGAACACAAGACACATGAAACACACGCGCCTCGAGAAGCAGAGTGCCTCGCCTGCGCATGCAACTCACACCGGGAGCTCAGCGGTGACAGCCCAAATTCTCGTCAATTGCAGGAAGAGGTATGCTCTGGTTCTCTTACATGGCTGTGACGCAGTTCGACCGAGGCTTCTGCGACGCATAGTCCAACGAAGAGAACGCGTGATGTGAGTCCAAGTAGCCCAGGCCTGCCAGAAGCATGGGGCAGAATCTGATTTCACGGATTGCTTTCTCGACCCCAAAACCCCACAACGCCGCATAAACTGTGAATTCTGAGATGCCTTCCAGATCGTCCGCGCTGATTCGCAACCTGCGAGCTCAGTAGGCAGGCCTCTACTCTCCCCATTTGCACTTGAGCCATGAAAGACAACCCCAAATTCCATAAAATTTTTACAATCCCAATACAGAGTTATAAGCCCAAAGCACCGGCACCGCCAACAGATCCGGGTGTCTGGCTCGCTCAGGCCATGCTCAAAGTCCCTGCGGGACACAAGCCCTCGCCGCCTCGACATGATGGGGAGTTGCGTCTATTCCTCTAAACTTTGCTGCGGAGGCTGGGCTCGAGCGCGAGGAAGGCCTCCGGCAAAAGGATCGTATCGAAAACGTTGTTGACAACGCTGTCTATGGCCGGCCGTCGTGCAAAAGGAGACCTCCGACGCCTTAAGATGCCTTTTCTATAAAGTTGCCTTGGTATAAATGGATCATCGCAGCAGCTTCTTCTGCAAAAGCAAGATCGTCTCTAGAGAGGATGATGTTCAGAACTACCTTTTGCTGACATATTCTGCGTACATGAATGATGGGAAAAGCGCCTACATCCACACGGGAGTATTCCCGAAAATCTGTCCGTTTCAGTTGAGTCGATTTGACAAAGACCCCTTGACTTGAACCCCAACTAACCTAAACCTCTCTAAAGCCCCATAAAACTGGAAAAATCATCGAGCCCAGAAGGCTTCCCACATCACTGCATGGAAGGGCTTGGCACCCAGCGGCCCAGCAAAGGCCCTTTCTAGACGGCGAGCAGAACCACCGAGCCGCCAGATCACCTCCAATCCAAGACGAAGACTAAGGGCCACAAGCGGCGAAGGATTCTTGGGTTCAGTCTACGGTTTATGGATCATGTTTTGGACCCTGGGTTCTGGGTGAGGGTCGGTGAGGGTTGGGGTTAGGCACATTTCACCACGACGACCAGCCATCTGCACTTCTTTTGGATGCCGTCTTCTCGCGCCATGTTTTGTCGGTTAACTTTGGACAAATACTTCTCGATGATCTTGCAGAGCCTCGAAAGCCGCAAGCCTGCTGCCCGGAAATCGCGGAGAGCGGCTCGTGCGGCTTTCTGGCGGATCTGAGCCACCTGCACTTCAAGACCAGGGCTGGGGACTTTCGGAGACAATGCAATGCTGTCATGTCCAACGAAATATAAGTACGTTTCACCCCAACAAATGCTGCACGGCCGCCCCGGCCAGCCGATCGGCGACCTCAAAGCTCGTGTCGGCTTCAGGATCAAGTTTCAGTTGGCGTTGAGGGGTGGCGGACATAACCTGGAAACTTGCTTCGGGAGGTAGTCTTCATTTTTCAGGATGAGGACACTCTATCATCGCGTAAGTAGCGCGGATCAGCCCCAACTCCAAGGCAAGATTTGCAAAGTTCAATGTCTCACACAATGAGCACCTCCTCCACGTTGCGGGCGTTCTGGAACTTGTCGCCCAGGAGCAGCACGCAGCCGAGGTACGTCTCCGCGAACACCAGGTTCGGAAGCAAACCAAATTCTTGAGTCATCTGCAGGGATGTGCCACTCATCGAGCTAGTCCAATTGTCAGACACTCACTGCTTGATATCGCGTTCCAGCCTTTCTTCACCCCTACCTGTTGGTAGACCGTCGTCAGCTGCGCAACGGGCGCGAATCGGTGGGCTGCTACCAGGTTTGTGAAGACCACAATGCTGGGTTGGACGCCTCTCCTTGGCGCATGCTCTACACGTCTATGATATGTTGGTCCAGTTGTGGGGTCCACACAGCGACTCTGAAACTGGAACCCTCTCTCTTCTGGGAAGCAAATCTGGGCGTAAAAATGGAAACAGAAAGCAGCCCGACAAGTAATCCATGTGATTGAACTCGAAATTTTGGCTCCCAAAATCAAACTTCCGTGATTCCAGAAGAGTTGGTCGGTCGAAAAATGGGTAGCCAGAACGATTGAATCGATAACCAAAAAGCTGAATGAGAAACCACCCATGCTTCAGAAACCAACCCTGATTCGGAAACTAACATGGCTGATTCGGAAACCACGACGGCTGATTCAAAAACCAGACCGACTGATTCGGAAACAACGCCATGATTCGGAAACCAGAACGGCTGATTCGGAAACCAGAACGGATGATTCGGAAACCAGAACGGATGATTCGAAAACGAGACGAATCATTCGGACACCGCAAGCCATGATTACGGAATGGTTGCCAGGAGCACTGCGAGCCTGGAAGGGCCTCACTCGATTGTGATTCGGCTTTAGTGACGTCAACTTGGTTGGGTCATGCATGCTCTGTTCTCAGAGCGCATTCAACTATTGACGACATCATGGTTGGCCCATGCATGCTCTCGTCTCAGAACGGCTTTGACCATGGACATCTTCATGGTTGGGCCGTGGATGCTCTCTTCCCAGAACGCATTCGCCCATGGGAATTATCTTGGTGGGTCACGGATGCTCCGTGATCAGAACGCGTTAAACCGAGGACATTATCATGGTTGGGCCATGGATGCTCTCTTCTCAGAACGTATTCAACCGTGGACGTCATCATGGTTGGCCCATGGATGCCCTCTGTGAGAACGCACGAGACCATGGACGTCCATCGTCATGGTTGGGCCATGGATGCTCTCTCCTCAGAACGCATTCGAGCATGGACGCTGTCATGGTTGACCCATGGATGCTCTCTCTGAGAACGCATTCGAGCATGTACATGATCACCCAGTTTCTGAGTTTGCAATGCAGTACGGTCCGTACACTGGCAACTGCTTGCACTCAGACAGCTGCCAACGACCCAAGAATCGAAAGACCAAACGCTTGCGCCGCACAGGAGTTGCCCTTCCCAGAAGAGGTGAATGCAAGCGATTGATACTATTCACTCGGTTTTAGAAGCCGGAAGCACGAGCATTTGTTGGACCCAAAACTGTGGCCCCCAAACCCCCAGATTGCGCGTGTCACGACACGCATTTTCATTGCGGGCTTCAGACCGGGACCCAAATCGGGACCGGAGTGGACCCAACACCCTGTTTGGGTGTTACAAGTTTAGAATCCTAATTAATGGTGAGGGGAGGGCCCGGCAGTTGCCATTCTCACCTAGCTAGAGCATTGCAGTCCAGGTGCGCATGCATCCGGTACATGTGATTATTGAGGGGGGCCGAGCACCACCAACGTCGGCCGCTAGGCACATTTCTTTTAAGGTTCTCGGTCCAGCTTGCAGGCTCTGATTCTGAACACAGAGCCAGCTTCCGATAGACTGCCTTGAACGTATATGGTCCATGTACTCACTCTAGGGCTCTGCTAGAAAGAGTAATAGCAATATGAGGTTTGGACGTCAAAGCACTTTAACAGCTCGGGAAGCCTTGCCTTTGGTGCGCACATTGAACCTTGCAGCGGCTGACACGAAACAAGAAGCCTCAGCAATAAAGGATCTTGGCTGATTGTGCTTTAAGCCGATCTGCAGGAACTGCTCGAATCCGATGACGAGCTAACAAGCAAAGTTCCACCCATTAGGAGACAAGATGCAACAAAAATCCAAGTCCGACAACTGCAAAGCCCGAGCGGCTCATGCACGAGAACCTGGAAGAAGCATCGAGCCGCCGAAGCACTGGGAGGCTCTCGGTTCTTGCAGGCGTCGATGGCAGAGCCAAGAATATGCTCATTAATTTCCTGCACGGACTGGCTGTGTCTGTCCGAGAGGCGGAGCCATGGTTTGTGATTTGTTTTGAGATTCTGATGGGTCCGACGTGAAGGTCCTATCAACAGCCCAGGTTGGAACCAGAATGCTTTGACCGCGCCTGGTTCTCCTCGAGCATTAGCTGCACCAGCTGAGCAGCGCCCTCAACGTCACCGAGGTCGGCCAGGGCACAGAGCATGGCAAAGAACATCTCATGGTCGCAAAGATTTCTCTTTTCCTGTACGGGCTCTCGCTCAATTGTCAGCTTCAGAGATTGCACATTTGACATACTCCGCAGAAATCAAAATGACATATCTTGCAGAAGTGCAAAAAGCTGCGACTTGGCAAGTCCAAGAGTCAGTCTCAGACCATATCTCCTGCACCCGTTGCTTTTGTTGCAGCAGCCCGAAGCATCTAAGACCAAGTTCCTTGGCTTCCCAAATCAGAGGATACACCTGGCTTTTGCTCTCTTAACTACGGTATTGCACAGGGTCACCAGTCAATAATATGTTGACAGGCGAAACGCCAGGACTGCTGGATGAACTGCATCCGGCGTGTCTGCAAGGATCTTGTCGTAGAGTCTTGCGCACTCCTCGTACTTCCCCAGACTGAAAAATGTGTGCAAAGCCTGGACGTCGGCGGAAATGGTTGGGAAACTTCGGCGCCTACATAATCTGAGCATTTGCGCCCATCTCTCTTTGGCAGTGTAAAGCTTGTGGTGACCAGCAGCATAGGCCCGCAATACATAGCCAGCACGAGGACTTGAGCCCAGAAGGGCCTGGAACTGCATGAAAGCCATGAGAAGCGGAGACTCCTCTTGGCTCGATGATCCTTTCGCACAGCTTCGGCTTTCCCATGATGTCGGGACTCTTCGGCGCTACCCTTCCTGAAGCCATGCATCCAGCTGCAGCATATACGCTGAGAAGAAAGGTTAGTTCTTTCCACTACGGGGTGCAACCTTAGTCATGACGTATTCATTTTCGGGAAGACTCGCGGCAAAACTTCTGTTTTGCAACAGCAGTGGAGGCGATGGTCTGCAGTGTCCGGGGTTTGGATCCTGACGCTTCGGGATATTACAAGCTGTGTCTTGCCTCGCGAAGTGCTGCCTCCTGCAGCTTTGCCACATCTGCCACCATGCGATGCGCCTGCAGTCACAGCAACCACAGCAACAGAGACTAAGAGTGGCCAATACGCTTCATGGCAGCTGCAAGTTGACAAGCCAGCCAATCGGTTGCAAAGGCCTCGCGGCCGTGGCAGGGAGGCCCTTCATAGACCAGCGGCTCTAAGTCATATTCACAATATGTATAGGTTGCAGTACTCCTACAAGTAGAGTACGATTATCTGTATTACCATAATCGGCTGAAAATGAGCATTCCGATTCATGTCGTTGAGACAAAACCGGCGCGAGTATGTCTCCAACTGTCTCTCTTGCTTGCTCGGGGTTAGGAAGCTCGTGCACGAGCACTCACGACGGAGCTCTTAGCTTGAGTCGAGCCTTGGGGCGTCTCAGGAAAGCTTGCACGTAGAAAAACAGGCTCCTGCGTGCCACCACAGTGGGGAGTCCACGCGCAGTGGTAATGAGGAAATGGCTATGCGAGTGCAGCAATATTATAAGAGCATTCTCGAGCGCATACCAATCAAGCTTCGTGGAAAACTTGAAGACAAAAATGGGATCGTCCCACATTGCGGGAGGATCGGCAGCTGCGGGACTGTGTCTGAATGCCTCGTTACTCACGAGAACTCTGAGTGGTTTCACCTGCTCTTCTTCACACTTCCTTGAATGTTTCTATTCAACTACGTATTGTCTCCAGTCAGACTCAGCCAACGGTGGAAAACTGCATCAGGAACTGAAGGCCATCGCACAGACTTGCTTGGCTCTTCGCTCTTCTGTCTGGTGTATGTCCTTGTGGGTACTGAGTCTTCACAGCATAAATCGTTTTGCTCGGCACGGGATGAGTCTTCGGGCTGTGGGTTTAGAGCATTGGGTCACTACACTACCTTGCGTTCAGGCTGGCTCCAGCATCGACCTCCTCCCACTCGTCGGGGCCCTGTGACGTTGTGCAGCACTCGCTCAGGCTTTAACTACGATAGCAGCGCACCTACAACCAGAAAGGGCTTCTGGAATCCCACAACACTGAGCTTCAGATATCTCCGCAAGAAGACCCTGTAGACCCCCAACTCCAACGTCTAGTCCCGGAAACTCCAGAAGCAAAGGTCCGATACTCGGAACAGGATTTGGGCTCCGGGGATGTCGGCACAATGTTGCACGGTTGAGAGACGGGAGCAGAACATAGGATGCGGGAGCTCCGTTGCCTGGTAGCCTGCAAAGTCGCTGTCGCCGAAATCATCCGACTGGGCCACCTGTAGAGATGGTAAAGTGCATATTGTAGAGGGCAGCAAGGAAGACCGTAGGCCGTGGGAACAGATCAAGTAGGACGGGACAGTAGCAGCGGATGCTTGGAAGAGACCCGCTGCCCGCTGCTGCTGCTGCCAAGCATCTCGAGTAAGACTGGCTCTAGTCGGAACACGGACGGTACACGCCCGAAAGTTCTGAACAAACCACGCGCTTCCACGGTTTCGGCGCCTGCTTCTTCTTCATCTGCCGTGTCAGGTGAGGATGGTTCTCCGCGATGTAGTTCTAGCGGGTGAAGCAGCAGGAGCTATGGGCCACATGAGGGTAACAGGGGGCAGCCCAGCTGCACCCTTCAGCCATGCCGGTTGCTGAGAAACCGAGTTTGGGAAGCAACCCGACATTGATCTGCTACAGTTTCCAGTTTCCAACAGGCGCGACCCTTCGGACCCTGATGCAATCTCACACCGGCAACCTGCGTCTTGACCGTCTGACCTGATGGTACATCGGCGGCAAGTCCGGATGGGGCACGGCAGTGAAACTGGTCGGTGTAACCTGGACATGCAGGAGGTTTTGAGTTGGAAAACCTGACGACTGCAACAGCAGCTTGAGCACGAAGTTCGTCTACCTGGAGGTTCCCATCCGGGCCCGGAGAAAGCTGCAGGAAGGCGCCCTGGCAAGCAGATTGACATGAAGACACGCTTCAACGCCAGAGGCTCTCGGGAAGGAGTCAGCTTATCGGCTATATTGCACCACGCAGTTGTAGTAGTAAGTCCGAGAGTGACAGTGAAGCAGTAGCACTAGTAGCAGTAGCAGCAGTGTAGCAGTAGCAGTAGCAGTAGCAGCAGCAGCAGCAGCAGCAGCAGCAGCAGCAGCAGCAGGAGCAGGAGCAGGAGCAGGAGCAGGAGCAGGAGCAGAAGCAGAAGCAATAGCAGTAGGAGGAGCAGGAGCAGGAGCAGCAACAATAGCAGTAGGAGGAGCAGTAGCAGCAGCAGCAGCAGCAGCAGCAGCAGCAGCAGTCGTAGTAGTAGTAGTAGTACTA